TTGACCCAGCACCGCCACCACCCCCCACCATCCCTCGCTCCTCACTCACCCAGGTGCTCTCTTCTCTACCTCCCCTCGTTCACGTGAGCCCTCCACGCCGACGACGCACCGCGCTCCATGCCGCGGCCGTCGGCGGGAGGGGAGTGCTTAGGGCCTGCTTCGGGAGTCGGTCCTGCGCTGCATCGAGGCGGAAGGGCATGGGACCTGCGATATGTGATGCCCACGCCGTGCAACGCACCATAACAAACACGCGTGCAAAAATATCATATATAGTTAGATATAGATATAGATTCATGTATGAATGTATGCATATGTAAGTGGAAATGCGTCTCTACCTGTTCATTCCTTTTCCCATCTGCAAAGCGTAACTCCTTGTGACTTTGATATCTCTGAAATGATGGGCGTGGCCACGGAGGCCTTTCGGAAGAGGCTACGAGAAGTCCAATGCTGATAAACGGCACAATAAGTAAATAACGTGGAGGCACATTCCGCCGGTGCGTGCGGTGTCAATAGACGTCACGGTGGCGGTGGTGAGCGAGGTGTGTCGGGTGTCACAGCATGTCACTCCGCTCGCCTAGCTAGGAGGCCCGTTACGCCCGGAAAATAAGGCAAGGCGTTCCTGGGCCTCCCTTCGGCCGCCCACGATTCCGGTCTTGGCAAGAGCACACTGCTACCACAATACTCCTAGACGTGGGCTCCGTGGCAAAAGTCGTTTCCCATAACCTTGACAAATGTTACAACTTTGCAGTCTCAATATGGCAACAATAGGCTTATAAAATCAACATAGCAACAATGCCATCAAGCTGGAATAAATTCTTGGTTGGATGGCATTCTCATCATGGAAACGGTTGCACGTCCGCTTGGCTCAATGCACCTTCGGATGTACCTGAAGCAAAGGTGCTTTTAGCTTAATTAGTGCAGTGATTTCTGCCTCCGCGAAAACTAACAAAAATTTCACTAATGACTCTGAGCACGCCCATCAACATGCGAGCCACGCCTTTCGAACGATGACGCAAGGCCGCAGAGAAGTAGCCACCCTAACATAGGCCGAGAGGAAATAACGATGGGCTAAAAGAAATTCGAATTCACACCGCGTAAACAATCCACAGCAACGGGGGTGTCACACCACGCTCCCTGTTTATGTAACGAGGCTAGAAGACAAACGGGTTGGCGGGTGAGCAGAGCGCCAGGATGCTGTCCTCGCCGACGGAGCCACACGCGAGACGGATATTGATAAGGGAAAGGGGATTAGGAGCTGCGTGAGTCACACTTACAGGGGAGCCTGTAATAGATTAAGCGAGCGGTGTCACGAGAAAAATGACTGCAGAAACGAGGGGCGGGACTAGTGCTCTGAGGGTCAAGGTTGGGACAATAAAGGACCAACAGGAGAGTGAGGGAAGGACTTGTTACAGCTCTGTGGATCGAGACGGAGGTAGACAGAAACCCATAGTACACACACGAGTAGGAGGCGATATGGGGGAATTCGGAACCACCGTGCTTTTTTGGCATCCTCCATTACCATCCAGTCGGTGGTGCTTTAGCGGTGCTGCTTTTCATAACTATCATGAAGAATTAATCTGACTCTGTAGTAACACCTTATCTCTGCTGTGAAACCTCTACGATGACGCCATCCATCTTGAGAGCAATCAAGCAAGTTATTTCACTGACGAAATATCCTTGCCTGATATTCACACACGATAATAACTGGTTAACAGACGGAAGTGTGAGGAACCTGAGTGAATTTTGAGGGGAACTGGATGGACGGAGGCAGACTATGTGTGACGCATTACAAAACAACGTATGAATAAAGAGCAGCAGAGGGGTGTAACTCCCACTTTGCCCCTCCCCCCTCCCCCTCCCCCATTCTACCCATGAAACAGCGCTCCCGGGAGTCTCTCGTCCGACCCCCCCCCCCAAACGCAGACAGTTATCACGCAGCTCCATGCAGCTCGTGTACATGCACTCGCTCTTTAACAAATACCACGGCGTCTGAGACCGCACGCTGGACGAAATGTCACGGCGCGTGGCACCCATACACGCCCGGGCAGGCTATTCATTCTCCTTCTCAAGAGGCCTTTACTTCGCGAGTCTAGGTGTGTAGAAATGCATCTCTCTCTCTCTCTTTCTCTCTCTCTCTCTCTCTCTCTCTCTCTCTCTCTCTCTCTCTCTCTCTCTCTCTCTCTCTATATATATATATATATATATATTATATATATATAATATATATGTGTGTGTGTATATATGTATATATATATATATATATATATATATAATATGTATATAATATATATATGTATATAATATATATAATATGTATATAATATATATATATATATATATATATATATATATATATATATATATATATATATATATATATATATATATATAATATATATATATAAATACACCACACATACATGTAATATATATATATATATATATATATATATATATATATATATATATATATATATATATATATATGAAAGAGGGGGGGAGAAACAGAAACACACAGAAAAAGTATATTTCCCTCGCACTTCTTAAGGAGACCTAAAATATTTCACAAAAAAACGTAAGATGGCACTTGTTCCATGCAGAGGTACACACAAAAATTAAGCCGAGCGAAATTCGAAAAGGCAAGCGCGCGAAGTGGCATCATCATTACATGTCTCCAGTCCAACTGGAATGAGTTGCCAGGTATACAATAAAATATTCCTGCCACAGGGCCTACTTATGTTCCTTTTACAAAATTTTCACTGACATGTTCGTATATTTTGAAATTCAATATCACATAAAATACTTAAATTGCAATACATACGAAACAGGCAGCTAATAACACATTAAAAAGGCACAGTCATGCTATTCTTAGTATGAATTAGTTTAATGACTACCTGCTACCTGCTTATAACTGCCTACATACATAAAAAGAAAACTATAACTGGAGAATATGTATACAGCGAAATTCTGAAGTAATCCGTTGGCAATACCACAGGCTTTCAACGATGACTGCTAAACGGATGATTCTTAAATACCTCTTACCTACAGTCATCGCCTAAGTGTTGTTTCCTCTTATCATAAGTGCACCTGAACTAGCAGTAAAACTTTCCAGATTGAAGATAATATCAAACATGTTATATCGTACGGAAAAGGTATTTCAAATTGAAATGCTGCTTAAATCGTATAAATGTGAGTGAGTGAGAGCGCATCCGTGTGTGTAAACATAGAGGTTATATAAAACCTACAATACGTTGCACGACTAGCATCCGTAACCTATACATGTGTCAAAACAGGTGAATTTAAATCTAGGCCAAATATCCAGTCCATCAGCCCCATGTGTCGAGGTCGAACAAGTGACCTTGCCAGATATGCCCTCGTCCAGCCGACAACGGACGAGCCAACTTCAATTTTCGGAGGGATATTTTCGCCACTTGAGGCCTTGCACTTCCGGTTCTGGTGTTGCCGTAATGTGGGCCAGACGTCCCGCTTTCTTAAGACATCGTTGTGCTGAAGACAACGACACGTCGCTACACATGTATCACGCGCTTGGCCCAAAACATGAGAACGAAACTTACTGATAATTTGATAGGCTTTACAATTCTAGAAAGGAAATGGGTCTCCTCGGCGGTGTTTCCGCCACATCTCGGGGTAGGAGGCAGCATTCCACGCAACATTCGAAACTAATTGTGCCTCCCATGTCCCCTTTACTCCCGCCTAGCATGCCCGCACGGTGTGACGTCATCGTTTGCGAAAAGCCATACCGAGGACACCATCCTATCCACTGCTGGCTCAAGTTACTTCTCAGAGCGAAGTATGCTGTTCTCTGGCAAGGAGGGCAAGATGTAGGGCCTACTGAGTATGACAAATAATCCTCCACATAATTCAAGATGATTATCCAAGCAAACAACGGCATAGGCTTCTCGGGGGGAGAGCGGTCTACGATATTCCATACATTATGCCTGTAGCCAGTACAAACACCAAAATCAGAGAAACGATGCAGCCGAAGAAGGACGGGTTCCACCAACTGGTTCCTTTCCACCGAAAATACTTGGGGAATGTGCAATTTCACATCGCAGTTTCTTAATTAAAAGGTTCCCATTACTAAAGAATCGCGTATTCTTAATACTTACTGCATATCTCTAATCTTTTCACTTAACCATATTCTTCAGTTTCCCAATGTATGCGCACCCTATGAAATCATGAAAAACCTGCAGATTACTGTAATCATACAAGCAAGCAAGAAAACCTAATCTAACAGCTATGACGAAGATAAGGCATGACTAGTAGCATCCCCGCGCCCCTCTGCTGGTGAGATTAACCAACACCAGACCCGTGAGAGTTAGACGTTGCTCACGCGGTCTCAAGTAGCAGGCGAGGGAGCCTGTTTGTTTACCCACGCCACCAAGACACAGAAACAAAGCTGAACTGCTCTACTACTTCATTCTCGGCTGTAATTATGTTCGAAATACTATTTAAAGGAGGAAAAGGGATAACATGACAAAATGAAAAGTTAGGGTAACGGGGCACACACTTAACACACACCACACAAACACGTAGAGTTTTCATACATGGGATTGGCAAGTAAACATCATTACGCAGATGTACAAAGAGTTTGGTATTCAAATCTAGAATGAATGAGCTTTTCCCATGAAAGTCTTCGCGCAATAAACATTATAAGCATTTGTCTCAATTGAGAAGCTGAGCGAGTGGGGGCTGAGAGAGAGCACTAAAGCACCTGGCATCACTTGATACGGAGGTAACCAAGAATCTCTTCGCCCCGGCTACAAGATAACGACAAATGATGCCATATAAAACCCACTCTAAGTCAGCTCTCCCCGGAGTCAACCTTTGAGTGTCTTGTCTGACATCTGAGCCCCGCTGACTCTATCCCTGGAAAAGAGCGGACACATGACCCTGGCACCTCTGGCTTTCTGGGTGCGGCACTTGCTTCCCAACGTCTGCACTTTTCGACTACGTCCCCTTTTTCGTTATCCACTTTATTAATCCAATCTTTTTTTTTTTTTTTTTTTTTTTTTTTTTTTTTTACTAATCCCCATATTTCACACCCAACTACCCACCCATCTTCAACAATTTTGTACATTCAACTTCTTCCCCCAGTCTTACTGCAATAAACACATTGCAGTATCAGCATTTGGAATGGGGAAAAAAGATTCATTACGATCACATCACAATGTTATTCCCCCAAAGCAACAGAAGACCAGCGCATAAACTGACTACATGTATAACAGTAGCGACCAACAGCTACGGGCCGTATGTATCGCTTCTCCGTGATTGGCGCACCGTTATTCTTATCACAACCTCCCTCTACCTAGCAGCGACTCCTGACTCACCTGGTAATCTTCTGCGGGTCCTTCTTTCTAGTTAAGGTCCCGTTGGCCTTAGGTGGTAGGCCGTTCTTCCTGGTCATGGCTGCTGGTGGGCCAAGTGTGACCACAGTGCTGATGTCAAGGGTCTTGATTAAACAGAGATTGCCATCTCCAAGTCTGTTATATGCACAATGATTTCCAGATACATGACAGGTTTCAATGATCTCTTACTATACAAACACTGTTGTCTATATTTGGTACTTGTCACTTGTATGTTTCTAACAAAACCTGCAAAGACTATTATATATGCCTTCTGCCCATTTCTGCATAAATAGTCCATAGATGTATATATGTGCAAATATACATATACATATAAATGTATGTATGTATAAATGTATATATATATATATATATATATATATATATATATATATATATATATATATATATATTTTCTGAGTTTCTTAAATCTCAAAGTCAACATGAACACCAAACTCTTTTCTTCAGGATATCCGCTCCAACCCAAAGTATCAGTGCAAGGGCTACACTCGTCATATCCGCGTGACACTGATAACATTACCCATTAAGCCCATCTCATGTGTGTGACACCTGGACTCCGAGCTGGCACATGCTTTTGGTATGCCATGGTCAGCCATAATGCACAGGCAAAGCCCTACGACTTAGTACGGAGAAATATATACTTAACGAACATTATGTATGGATAATTACATCACTATTAAAAAGAATTCGCTTATACCATACTTATCTTTTTTCCAATACATCTGAAAATAAAAACACTGACTTAATAATTTCCCCGCACTGTACGTATTTCCAGTCGAAATATTTAGAGGACAAATACTTCAACCAAGCGGCGGCAGAACCTTTGTAAGGAGAAATTGACTGGGAATTATTTCCAAAACAGCTACTTCGAATACGGACATTATCATGGCAAACACTTGGAAATATCATCTTTTCGCTATCAGAGCACTTTCACATTATTTCTTCAACTTAAAAAATATATAACAATACAATTTTCTCCATAGATGGATTTTCTGTTGATAACCGTCATACGCTTTCTCACAATCTTTTCCTTTGAATATAGGCCTATTCCTTTCTGTGCACAATCATTTGGGCAAATATTTTCTGTATATTTTGTTTAAAACTATTATTTATAACAAAATCGTATGTCGAAAGTTACACTATTAAAATAATCTCAAATTCACTGCTACTCTCTCTTCACGACACGTGCGCATCAGGAACTGCGGTACAAACTTACTACAAACTGTAGAGCTCTGTACTGGGTGCCAACTTCTACAGATTACAACAGTTATTTCGGAACTTTGCGTGGTAGTTTAGTATTAACATCACATGTAAGGTCTACATTATTCAGTATGTTTTGTTGCAATCCTCTATAATTTTTTTTTGTCTATACTTAAACAGTAATAATAAGCAACAACAATTACTACCCGGCATCTCCATCGCCTGGCAGGGGGGTGGGGGTCTGGTCCCTCTAGCTCACACCCTGTCGTCGTTGCCACTTACTCATCAAAATATATTTTTTCTACATAATTAGTTTAAATTTTCCACGTACATAATTAGTGGGTCGTTTATAATAATAAAAAGCGAAGTATACTGGCATGGTAAGGCCGCGGCTAGAAATCTGAGACAAGCTTACATGAAGATTTTCATGTGAAGGAATTCCACTCGCGTTCGCATCATCTTTTGCGGGCGAACGAAACGCCCGAGATGAGTTTAGAAATTAGACTTACTATTAATAACCGGTTGGCCAAACAATTTTTAATAAAACTAATTAATGTTTTTTCTATGGAAAATCCTTTCGCTTTATTGTTTAGGCTCAGAGACTAATCCTCTGTGGAATAAAAAAAAAAAAAAAAATGAATGATTCCACGAAGCAAAATACTCTTAGAAATATGATGATTCGATATTTTGTCAGAACCCGATGGTATTGAATTGCGATTATGTGTGAGATATAGGACCTATGCTTTGCACCGTAACACTGTAACCTTCCCCTCCCCCCCTACACACACGCACCAAATACATATATATTTGCGCGCGCGCGCGCACACGCACACACACACACACACACTTGTGTGTGTGTGTATGTGTGTCTCGTGGGTGCGTGTGCGTGTGCATGTGCGTACGTGTGCACGGT